CCTAAAAAAAAGTTCAGTTGCTATCAACTCGAGTGTATAAGATTAGCGACCTGGTTCTCTTGGCAGCCATTAATTCTCTTCTGGTTTTCTTTTTTAGATGTTTTCTGACAAAGTCTAAATTGGAACTTCCTGCTTTTAATTGTAATCACTGGTTTGGTCATTTTTATTGTCGAGGTCCTTTTAGACCTCGACAATAAAAAGCCGACCTCGTCAAGAGTGTTCTTGTCTTGGTTAGATGTTGTGTTGTTTTTCAAGGAAATAACTCTTCGATCATCCACTCATAATGTGGATCATAATAATCCACTTTATTCAGTTTACTTGTCTTCTTTTTAAAAATGTATCAGATTCTTGATTTGGCCATTTCTTAATTTGTTGTTATCTTTATAATAAGCTGATGTTGAGTGTTGATTTACTTGCTTAACATCTCCTTGGAGCTCATTATGAGATTTTCACTGAACAGGTTTTAAATCAAGTACAAATCTTTAAGTGGCTTCGTTTGATATGAAATAATGAGGGAATGCCTAGTCAGGTTACTGTCCAGTTACTTTTGACCCTCTGAAAAGGAGAGATTGTGTATAAAAATGGCTTTAATGCATAAATAGTTAATGCAGTTATTTTGTTAAAGTCCCTAAATAAAAGCTGCAAGTCTGCACTTTAATCACATCTTGACTGCATGATTTAAAATCCAGATTTAAAAATTTACAGAGGCAAAATTACCCCCCAAAAAAGTATAATTATTCAAATACTTATGGACCTAGTTGTACAATCCCACCTCTCCAGTGCTGCAGTGCTTCATAGGTACTCTGTGTTTTATAACTCTTTGGAAATATAGATAATTTAGAGTGACCTACTTGCATTACATGTTAGTTCCCCATGTATAATAAGCAGCCTTTGTCTGCTGGCCTTTATCATGATATCCAAGAGCTCTTTCTGCGAGAGTACTTCACACTAGTACCAGGGACTGCATATACACACAAACACATAATGGGATATACTGTACTATAGGAGTGTCATCTGATAATCTCTGATCATCTCCTGTTTCTCTGCCTCTTCACTGTGATATTGTCAGACAGCTGCAGCCGACATTCGTCCAGAGGACTGGACGTGAGCCTCGAGGAAATAAGAAGGGAAGCCAAGTCAGGGCATGAACATATAACATCAATACATTTATTACTGATGAGGCAATCCTGCTCTGCTTTGTAACATTACCTAAGCGGTAATGTTTAGTGCCAGCAAAACATCATTGGACTATATGGCTGACCCTTTCATCTAATGTCACATAATATAATAATGTGATACTTTATTGATCCTCGCTAGCAAAATAGGCTCATGTCTTGACCCAGTTCATAAAAAGGTCAGACGTCAATGGCAGCTGCAGAGGATTGTGGTGCCTCACTTGATGACAAAAATATGTCATGGAAAATGTCAAAAACTGATAAGAAAACTGTTTTAAAAGATTTATGACAAGCTTCAATATGAATCATGCCGCTGTGCAGCACCTTGCATTGTGCATTATCAACATTACACATTATACTCCAGCCAATGCAGAAGAAAAACACTTAAACTGATGATATGAAAACGTAACTATGACAGATGTTCACGTATTACTAAAATATGACAACTTAACACCTGAAAAACGAATAAATTGTGACTGAAAGGTGTGGGGTGACTGACAAAGTACAAAAGAACTACCGAACTACAGCAATTCATGTTTGCAGCATTCAAACGTTTGTCAGAGAAACATTTAAAAACATTTGGATCCTTTTCATGGTCACTGTATCCAGACTGTCTCAGAGAGAAGATCAAAAAAGGCAAGAAATTGACCTCAGCTCGCTTCCCTGGGATGAACCACAAGACCCTTTCCTCAGGTCTCTTCCTTGGGATGGACAAGTAGAACTAGAGGAGAAACGCTTGAAAGAAATGCAGAATGAGAGCAGAGAGAAGATTATGTTCCTGATGCAAGAAAATGAGAGAAAGAGCGCTGAATTTTAAAAAAATTGTCTGACCAGGTTCAAGAAGAGGAAGGTATTATTGAGGAGAAACAAAGGAATCTCCAAGGCATGGACAAAAAGAACCAGGAGCTCCAAGGAAAGCTTGATGAAGCTCTGGAAAAATCAAGAAATCCAAGAGAAGAAACAACAGGACATAAAACTGAGAGATTCAGGTGTGTCAGTACAAGGATGCATCTAAAAGCTGCAGGACAGTCGCTCACCTTGCTCCAGATCTTACTGTGTGACAGCAAAAAAAAAAAAAAAAAGGTCAAAAAATTAATTCAGGATCACAGAGCAGAATAGTTTAGAAATGTAAAATAAATGAATTAACAAGTTATACAAAGTTAAACTAAAAATGAGCATGTGCCTTTTTTCCCTTCACTTGTCTCTTTGGATATTAAAAATCGAACATAATTCAGGGTAAATTCATCCAACCTCAAAAAGCAAAGTGAAAACTACACACACACAAAGAAAAAGAATAAAACACAAGTCGGTGTAGCCATAGGCTGATATTAAATAAGCTTGCTAGCGAGCAGCCTCCTGATCAAACTGTGTAATAACACAGTTTAATTACATTCATGCTCCAACTCTCGTAACAAATTAAACTTTTTAAACCAACATTCTCATTTCAAGGACTCCCCTATTTCTCCATTACTGCGGTGCCTTCAATCAAAGGAATGCGTCCGTTGTCCCCATGTGACCCCCGCACAGAGCGACAATGTAACGATAATACAATAACAATAATGTAACTAGGTAATAACTAGAGCAGCTGAATTGTTCCCTGGGCGAGGCAGCGGGGAGGAAATGATTCTAACATGCTTTCAGATCCCTCAGGATCTGTTGCAGACAACATGAGAGCATCTGAGAGGGAAAGCATCACCGGATAATGTTACTTGTACCGAACGTCACGTCATGCTCGACGCACAATTACTTTATATGAGTCTGTAGCTTATTTTTCACGTCAATTACCAAAATGCAGAGGTTTTAAAAGCTTTTTGAAGGTGAAATACTATGCTCCATATAAAACAACAAAAACAACACACACATACAAAAAACAACAACATGCTGCTCAGGCTCTGTGTCAGAAGCCTTTTCTTACAAACTCTCAGCTGAGGATTAAATTAGAGCCAGCACAGGGCTCCCTCTAACAGTGTGCAAAAGGATTACTTGCGCAATGTTTTAGGGACTACACACAATCACACAGGAGCTCACAAAATACAGTTTGTGGTCCAAAGTCTACATACAGTATTCATAATAGACACGAATGTCATGGTAATTTTGGGCTTCTAATGATTTCTTTAAGAACAAGATTGGGATGTAGAGTTTGAACTTTCTCTAACCCACTCATACACACAAGCTCAAATATATAAATACACCTCTTAGATCTTTTAATAAGTATGCTGAAGGTTCTACGCTGTCTTTTAACTTGACAAGGCCAAGGCCTATTAACTTCCCGTTAGTGATCATGACTGACTATAACTGTTGCCACCATAAAAAGGATTTGTTATGCAGTACACACTGGGCAGACCAATACTTACAATGGGATAGTCCAGGGAACTCAGCGAAGGTCTAAAAAGAATTATAGAAGTTGTATATAGAAGTAGCAGTTGTGTAGAATTGGCTCCTGGAGCCATTTCTAAACAACTGCAGATCCCAAGATCATCAGTTCAAGCATTTGTGCGTGAGTACACATTATTCAGGTGTGTCAACACTTTGCTAAAGTCTGGAAGAAGACCTTGGTAAAAAACTTTCCCCCCTCGGAGGAGAGGAAATTGGTCAGGATGTTGGGGAACAATAAACGACACACCAAGGCTCAAGCTTGCCATGAACTGGAAATGTCACTGTCGAAATTGAAGCAACGTCACCATGAGTCGCAACCAGTGTTCCAGCACTGACACCTTTAAATTCGGCTGAAATTTGCAGCTGAAAAGTTTTATGGTCAGACGAGAAAAGGATTGAGCTTTTTCGCCACAAAGACACGAGCTATGTTTGGTGCAATAAAGGTGAGGCTTTAAAACCTAAGAACTCTGTACCAAGTTTCAAGCATGGTAGTGGTAGCATCATTGCTATAGGGCTGTTTTGCTACCAGTGGTACTGATATGCTGCACAAAGTTAATGTAATAGTAAAAAAAGGGTTAGATTAATTACAATTGGGTGTTCCCAGTGATCCCAAGTACATTAGAGGGTGTTGGAATGGATAAAACAGGCTAACTTTAAGCATTAACGAATGAACTGCCCACAGACCCAACCTCGTCTATGCTGCAGCGTCTGTGCCCAGAAACCAACCAGTTTAAATTTGCTCTAGCAATCCTGCCAAGAACAGCGGTTAAATATTCACCCAGAAACTTGCTGATGGCTATCAAGCAGTATTAGTAGGGCTGTGCGTATGTATACTTTTGATCCTGTGTGGATTAGACAAATCCAAACTTGTGCACACAATTCCTCTTTTCTAAAGTCATTAAATATGTAAGCTGTAAATAATTCCACCCTGTAAAAGGAACAGTTCAAAGAAATCAGTAAAAGCCCCAAAATACTGTGACGTTTGTGACCAAAATGAGTGTATTTGGACTTCTGATCACAACATAAACACAGAATAGTGAACCGAGATCGCCAGCAACACGTCTGCATCTACAGGATGAATACTGCAGTGCCTCAGTATTATCAATAATAACGTCAACACATACGCGGCATACACACACCCATCCCCACCCCCTGCCTTTCTTTTTAAAGGCTATTGTGGAATGTGTGAGGGAAAATGAACCTTTTCATCCATTCAGTAACTGTCCTATCTGTTTCAGTCTATGTTGGGGTCAGCCGCAATTCAGAAAGCTTTTACACAGCTTTTCTAACAGTCCATCTCAATTTAGAGGAAAGAAAATTGTTGTGGAGGTTCACTTGTCTTTCTGTGCGGACAAAATTGGAACCAATCTGACCCCAATTTTTGTTTTGTTGGAAAAGCTTTCCTTTTGCTTCCTTTGAGGGACATAAAAAAACGCCATTGCATTTAGGGATTGAAGTATTTATTGAATTTAATGCACTAAAAACATAAACAGATGCATTATAGAGAGCGTGTCTGCACAGATGTGACATTGGCTTGAAAGTAGAATACAACATACATTTATTAATATATTCAGTCAAATTTAACTGGTCTTATAGAAAGATGTGAAAACTTATAAAAAGTGTGATTAATGCATATGCAATTTATACTAAGATAAATTTAACAATATAAAATACAGTCAAGCGAGCAGCTGCTGAGCAAAACAGAGCTTTGGTCAAAATGTTTTGAAAGGAAATCTGGAGCATTAAGACCACTGCGTAGCTGGTTAGCACAGTATCAACGCATTAAGAGCTGACAGTGTTCGCATGTTTAAATAAAGGCACTTTCCACATTTCATAAAAAGGAATATGAATGAAATAACGAAAGAAAAAACTGGAAAACCAAGTAGTGTATCAAAATGTACAATAAATACAATTAAACATTTTATTTTCTGAATTAAAAACGTACAAATCCGCCTCACAGGATTACCTCTGTGTCGTAGTCAAACACCAACAACGGCTGTTATTTAGTTCAATGTTCAATTCATATTGTAGAGTCAGAAATTTCAAAAATAAACAAGACAGACTTGTGTTTGATTTACTATCCAACAAGCAAAATGTGAAGCATGCACCGAGTTAAAAATAGTTTTTCATAGCAATACAAGGAAAAAGGTATTAAGCTTCAGAACGTGGTCCATGTTATATAGTGTTCCCTGCTGATGCACGTCACGCTCAGTCTACGTTTCTGTACCTGGAGAAGAGGTTATAGAGGACGCGCAGTGTTGATTTGAGGTCACAGTTCACAATATCTGAAGGACAAAGGAAGGAGAGTTACACATGGGTACATATATTCAACAAGGGTTCAACCTTTTAAAAGCAGTCAGCAGTAGTGTGGCTGGATTTCAGTCGAGGTGTATGACTGTCCCTTTTTCTGCACAGCAGCAGCGTAATTAGAAGGAAAAGCAGCACTACGGATGATGGTTTAAGTGAGCTTAAGCCACTGGCACAGTTGGAGATGTTGTGGCACCACAAACTTATAAGTCACTACTTTGCACATGGGCAGCAACAGATACCTGGATGACATGATGATGATTTTCATCATTCTGGTCTGAAAGTATGGTTCAGTTATTGTGATTCATATGCGATTATAGACGAGGCACATACAATCCTTTATGAGGGATGCTCGAACTAACTTGGCTGTGTTAGAACTTAGAGCTGTAAATGATATTTTGAGTCATGGGTTTGTGCAAACGAATGAAAAGTGGCCTACTTGAAAAATAAATTTAAAAATAGCAGTTTAGTAGCTTTACAAATGATAAAATATTATAGAAAATTTTGTAAAAATTTAGCAGCGGGTTTAGGATATGATGTACTTGTTTACACATTGTACACTCAGTAATGTAAAGACTTATAAAGACATAATAAATACAATTTAAATAATTAAAATTAAAATAAGACTTGTTCATATTTATTTATTTATTTTGGTCAAAGCCAAAGGAACATGGCAAAGGTTTGTAACCCCAACTCTAAGCTGGAGGGATCTTTATCTGCTTGTATGTCATTATAAGCAATCTGATGCTTGGCTAATAAAAGATGATTGATTACTGCAGCTAAAAAGTGAACAAAAACTAGTGGACCCTGGTGTGTCACCACATACAGCAGTGTATAAAGAAGCAAAGGTTCAAAAGCACAAATATGTTGAATGAACATCCTACCCTCAGGTCGGGGCTTTGGTCTCTCCAAACCTCCATCCTGCATCAGCTCAAAGGAGAAGGACACATTGTGAACCTGCAGACAGAGTGAGGAGGCTGCTGAAGGAAACACGTCGCATACACGCAGAAACACAAATCGTACAAACTGCACACAGGTCCTCGTTGATAAGGGAACATCCTCTGTGGGCCGACGCGGCAAACACAGCACGGCTCTGTTCTGTAAGATCATGAGCCTTCAGCAGCTGCACAAACAATCTGCTCCCTCATTTATCAGTGGATACATTACACCAGTGTCACTCAAAAAAACCCTCCTAATGCTGGGAAAGCGATACAGTCACATTCTTCATGCTATCAAAGGTGAATGAGTAACAAAGTATAACGATATATTTCAAATAGCTGCTTGGATTTCTTTCCTGTTTGTTTACTATGATTTTGTTCTTGTTAACTCTTCTAGGTGCCCCAAAAGAAACAAAAGAATCTTTAATGGCGGCTTTAAAGTCCTTCAGCTCATCTTTACGCTGCCTTTGTACATTTACCGAGCAATGTATGCCAGTGCAAAGTGGAGACATGGGATTTCTCCAGAAAACTGATAATTATGAAGCCGGGAAGCTGAGCTGATATTAATGTGGGTAGGACCGGACTTGTGTCCAGGTAAACTGCTTAAAGGCGGTTAAGATTTTTCACATATAGTGCATTTAGACGAGCAGATGTGCTCTCCTGTTGAGGAAAGACTTCTCAGCCAGTCTGACTCAAAAAATGGGAATCCAATCACAGGGAAGAGATGGTTGAAAGATGTTTTCCATTCTCCGCACATTGTGTCTGTCGGTGTATGCTCTCCCTGCTGTGAAGTACTAAAAGCTTTGCCCAACAAGGGCTTATTGTGTGAAAAGCGTGACCTTAGCCCATCTAATAGAAAAAAGAAAGGAAGAGCCTGGAGTAGAGATCCACTGAGCAGAAGCAGGAGTGCTTTCTTGATGCCTCGTGCTACTTTGCACAGCCCACCCCTGGTGTATCGCCCACAGGCCTCTGGGGCCTAAAAACACACACACACACACACACACACACACACACACACACACACCGAGTAAGAGCTGAGCCCCTAAGCCACTCCAGTGTTTCCCTGTGCAATAGGAGATTACAGATGCTGTGGGGCTGGTGCCTGTTCTTCCGGGCCAGGAATGTCTGTGTGTGTGTGTGTGTGTGCGCGAATGAGCAGTTGTGTACATTGAAGCACCCGATGCCCATTTTGCTTCGCAGCTTGGCAAGGGCAGCTGGCCAAAACCCAAACAAAAGGCTACTGTGGTGTCTCCGCAGATTGCCTGCTCAGAATACCGTAGTACTACAGAGGCCAATGGAGAGGAGAGATGGCTCTGCAGTGAATGGGCTCCGGGGAAAACGGATGGCATTTATCAAGCTATTGAGAGGAGAGAGTCTTGGCTCCAAGTATGTGAGGCTCCTCAGAAATGGAGTATCGATTTAGGCGTGTTCCCTAAACTATAGGTCAGGACTAAAGATTGGTGTCGGCCATGTTTCTCACAGATCTCTGAAAGAAAAATATTAGACGGCGGAGCTCACAACAACAAGTTTACTATCCTGCTTCAAAAACAAGCTAACAGTGCTGCATTTGTGTATTCTGTGACGTCTGTGCTGTTTTACGGGTGAACGACTCATCAAATGTCACGACAGCCTTTTTATTCAGCAACAAATACAAAATAAGTGTGAACTGACCCCATACAGATATGCACGCACATCTCTAGACACTGCACTACAGGGGGCATCAACCATGCATACCTCTTCTAGTCTGACGCTTAAGCCCCGTACCTCTCTGCCTTATAGCTACAAAGGTAAAGTCCTTGGAAAATAGTGATCATATCGAGGTACCGTGTTTTTGGTGAGACATTTCTTTAACCACTGTTTACCTTTTGGTCAAAATTCTCTGGTGTAAGAAAAAAGTTGTAGAGCGGCACAAAGTATCCTTCCAGCAGCCCCATCAGCAGCACCAGATAAACACCATCTGCAAACTGAAACAGCAGCACAATAGCGGGGGCGTGTAAGAGAATTGTTCAAACGAGTCGAACTGGTTTATAGACATGTGACATTGAGCACGGTGTTTACAGACTTAACAAAAGAGATGTGACATCATCAAATGGCTATTAAAACCTACAAATATCATTAAACAGTGAGCCTGCGTGTGTGTCAGCGTGACAGCTTTTAATCATCCAAACGGGGTAACAGTTGTCGTTGAAAATATCATCTGTCAACCTGAAAACCGATCACATCGTTTCTGTGTGTATTTAGGTGTGTGACGTACCTGCGTGTCCAGTTCAGACACCTCCAGGTTGAGCTTGTTTAGGTGTTTGTTCACAAATGTGATCAGTGTCTGAGAAGAGACAAAGGAAGGTGTCAGACACAAAAAAAAGTGCTTCAAAGATGAAGAGGAAATAGTCCAAAGAAACAACAAGACCCTGCAGGGTGTTCCAGACGGACCGGCAACAATACGCAAGGTTTTCACAACTGACACTAAAATATCCTCAAGCTTCCTAATTTTACAGCGTCTGAGCAAAAGATAGTTTTAGATATTACTATAGAATTTGTTGTCAAAGGAGCAAAAGCGTCTGGACTTCTTTAAGTTGCTAGAAGACGCTTCACCTCTCATCCGAGAAGCTTCTTCAGTTCTAAGGTCAAATGTCGGAGAGTCCATTTCACAATGAGCTCACCCGAAACCCTGGCTGATTGGGACCCACACCCGTTTTCACACCTTGGCTCATGTGATTAGAGGACTATCAGGGGGTCCTTTTGTCCCTCTTTGGGGGGTTACTCCCACTGGGTTTAAATCTGGGACTCTCCGCCATTTGACCTTAGCTGAAGAAGAGCTGAAGCTTCTCGGATGAGAAGTGAAACGTCTTCTAGCAACTTAAAGAAGTCCAGACGCCTTTCTTTCCAAGCTCCTTTGACTACGATGACCTGGATGGTTGTGTCACGGTTTGCAGCTGCATTTCAACCAGCAGTGTTCACATCTTAACCACCATGCAATACCATCTGGAAAGCATCTGATTGGCAACATCTTCATCGTTCAGCATGACAATGGTCAGAAACACGCTGTCAATGCAGTTAAAACAAACAAAACTACCTGGATAGAAAAGCACACAGTCATGGATTGGCCTGCCCAGAGGCAGTGTGGGATCACCTTAACATAGAATGTAACAAAAGGACACCGACATCCAAAGAAGAGCTTCGAATGTCCTTCATGAAGCCTGGAGAACTATGAAGACTACTTCAAGAAATTTCTAGAAAGCTTCCTAAGAGAGTTAAGACTGTGTTGAAGAATAAAGGCAGTCACTTTCAAGCTCGTTGTATCTCCCCAGACTCAGTTTTTGCCTCATCTACCGTGTTTCTATCTATGTTTTGCATGTTTAAATAAATGACTGCCCTTTTCACCATTTTGCCAGGAAAATAGAAAAAATAAAGGGGTGGCTCGAGACTTGCACAGTACTGTATTTAGATTTTTTTGTAAAAATTCCATAGTCTTCCATAGTCCCACATAGTACAATGCTACTGCAGAGCCTCAGTACCTTCTTCACAACACTCAGCTTATCAGGAGCGTGGTCAAACAGGGTGTCGAAAGCATCACGCTCTGTGGAGAATAAAAATAGATCACCATAAATAAATAGATAAATCTGGAAAAACAAAAGTGTTACATAAGTCACTTCTTTCAAGAAAACCTACCATGTCTGCCGGAGAAGGCCCTGAGAAAGAAAAAAGGGAAACAAAATGTGTCAGGTAAACTGATTTTTACATCATCAATTTTGCAATATTTACACCAAACAAGAGGGAAAAAACAAAACGAAACACAAACGCTTCCAGTTCAATCGCAGAGGAATGCAAAAGGATTATGTCACAGACATAACAACACAATAATGTAGCTGCGGTCCATAATTTGATTAACAATAGGCACATGTACACTTTGGGTATTCAAATAACCTGGGTATCATCAGTGGCATGGTCACACTTAGCACATACTGCAGCACAATACAATAATCTCAATAGGACAACAATGCAGGGAATTAATACAACGAATGAAGATGTGCAGGTTTTCTATGGGAATGGAGGGCCTCTTGTCTGTTATTACAATGTTAGCACTTTGGAGGACGTTGCTGTTGTTGGAAAGGGTCAGGTGGTTTTGGAGGGTAGGGAGCAAGTGCAGCACGAGTGTCCCGGAGGAAGAGATATCGCAGCGGGCAGGCCAGCAAGAAATGGCAGACACACACACACACACACACACACACACACACACACACCCAGAAGCACTCCCACACACGTTTATGGTGTAATCTGTGATGGCAAAGGCAGGCAGGTCTGGGCAATGGTCCTGGTGGTGTGGTAATAACCGTATATCCACTGTGACCATGTGAGTGTGTGTAAGCCTCAGTGCATGTGTGAGTGCGTGTGTTTTATTAGCAGCCTCCATCTACCATGACAAAATGTGTGTGTTGGCCTGCCGTTATCACCCTCGTTGCTGCTGTCAGGCTGCAGGACAGCCTCACAGGGAGACAAACAGTGTGTGTGTGACAGAGTGTATGTGTGCGATTTAAATCGTCTAATTCTTCGGCTAAGGGTGCCATCACATCTCTTGTTCAGATACAATGGTTGCCTGCTCACCAGTGTACAATATTTCTTCTGAAAGCCCTCATAAAACACAGGAGGCTACTCAGATTCTGGTTTTTGGGTCTACAGTGCTGTTATCATTGGGACCGGTGTGACAAAGATACACAAATTCATCCATTCGCAGTCTTGTTTACTTCTTTGTAATTATATTCGTACATCCAATCCATGGTTACTAACCTGGCTAGACTATGACAATCGACCAAAAAATAGACACGGGAAAGGATTTCTGTCGAGGTCTTTAGTCGGGCAGTGTGCTCCTTTTTATTAATGTGGATAATGTTTTAATGCAAAGAACCATATCGAGCTGGTTCCTTTTTATCACCAGCACTAACATGTGTCAGGCTGAGTGCAGCACATGTGTTGCGAGGTGTAAAAACTGAGTCACACAGTGGAGCGTACTTACTCTGTGTTGCCTGTGATTTCCTCTTGAATTTGCCTTGACTGAAGGATGCCCTCTCTTTTCTGGAAAAGATAAAGGGAGGATAGTTCATGTGCAATACATTGTTTAGCTTAATACAAGTAGAACCTACTTTGAGCCGTTCACAAAGTGACACCACAGCAGGTAGCCCTACATGTTTGACTGATATGCGTCTCCTGCTGGGATCGAACCAGGAATCATTCACTTGTCAGCCTAATGTAAAAACCACAAGGATTACAATATACATCTTATGATGTACCTTTTTTTATTGTTTCTTAATCCAATTAATCTATTTTTATTTTTAATTGTTCTCAAATTTCAGTGGATGTGCCTCAGGGTTAATTTTATTTTAATTACTTTCCTTTGTTTTGTCTTTTTAATTGATTCGAAATTGGTTATTACAGACTTTTTCTTTTATTACTTTGTGCTCCGTCTTATAAGCTGCTTGTCAGTCATCTGTGTACATGAAAGGCGCTATGCAAGCTAGTTTCACTGACTGACTGATTGACAGATATTATGCTAACTAATGCTACCTCAATGCTGGGGATAATTTAAACTAAATAATCTATAAAAACCACTGTAGAGTCACGTATGTAAATGTCTCCATCGTGCAGGCTGTCTGATGCAGCAGGTTTTTAATATACGAGAAAATGCTGACAGCAACTGTTACCTCAGGAAGTCAGTCAATGTTTGTGGAGTTTATATAGTTCGATATAACGATATATATCGGATTACGATATAAAAACGTCTATCGTTTCATTTTACGCTATCGTTTGTTTCGTGGTGTTGCAAAATAAACTATTTACGGCGATATTTTTTCATTGTTTTGATGGTCACCATAGCGGCTATATTAATTTCTTAAAGTTCTCTTATATTTAATATAACCACACTACGGACGGACAAGCGCCTGTGTTTATGTGTTGTCGTTAGCAACAACGACAGTAAAACCATCGCGTGTCCGCTTGTTTATTTTCCACATAAACCTTTCACAATAAAGCTCAAGATCCTGTTGAGACTTTTCAAAATAAACTGAATCACGTGAAAAAGTATTTACAAATGAGAAGCAAAAAAAGAGCCGTCAGGTGCTAAAGAATAAACCTTAGACTCAAACGTTAGAACAGGCTTTTCCCCGCAGCGCGCCATGTAATAAATACTCACAAAGAAAACTGCGGCCGTTACAACTTATGTCTAAAAATGTGTAGTTTCATGCATCAGTTAAAACACTCGACTCCAGGTACACGACACGCAGCTGGAAACACTTCAGCTACCCAAGATTCACAGAATTTACAGAAAATGTTAAATGTGATTTATATCGTTATCGGGACGATATACGTTTTATATCAGGATATGAGATTTTGGTCATATCGCACAGCCCTATAAGATGCCATCTCTCCTTCTTTCTAATGATTTATTCCAAGTGTTGATTGGTTGTGGAAAGGATTAGTCCAGGAATATAAACCCAAAGGAGGCGGGGCATGTGATCGGGTCTTCGTCCTTCTCTCCTCCTACCTGATCTCCATAAGCACCAGCTTTATTCATTTATTGCTGCTATAGCTTTGTATATTAAGTAGAGGCTGTGTGGGAGTTACTGGCAGTGTTGCTTATTTTTATTTTAGTTTTTCTGGACTAGGTTGAGGGAGAAGCTGGAATGTGACGGCCCATTATGTGGCTGGTTCATGGTCTTCTTCCTCTTTTGTTTGTTCTAGCGCCCGTGTTCTTTTGTTTCTTTCTGTCCTTTTGTGAGTAACTATGTTCCTGTTATTAAAAGCTTGATGAATGGCAGCAGCATCTCACATGTTGGGTTCCTTTGAGCCATAGATTTAGGGAGCGTAACATCAACAACCTAATTTCTACATCAATCTATCCTGTCACTGACTCCATCTTTATTGTGGTAAAGCCTTTATTGAAAAATTGTCTTCTACAGACATTTCAATCTTTACTAGATGTCAAATTTTACAGCTAAACTCAGTAAACATTAACGGTGCTGAGACTTTAGTGTGTCCCTGACAATTAATGGTGGGGGGAAAAAAAATTGATGTTCAGATCTCGTCTGAACATCATCGAGGTCTGAACCTCGTTGATGTGTGTGCAGAACAAAGCCTGTGTGCAGAACAAAGCCCAGAAAACACAATCACGTATTTTAAAGTGCTAACTCGCTCGTAAACATGAAGGAGAGACACAATACGCCGTGTCTTGTTAATGTGCCCGTATGCTGCATGCATTCAGACTTATCCAGTGTTTAAAATAATACACAAATACTGCTCAGTAAAACCTGGTGCTCGTGCCGAATTAAGGAGAACATGCCTGATTTTTTTTATAAGCAGCAGATTAAAAAAAAAGAACGTTCACCAACCTGGACAACGACTACTTGAATCGAGACGTGGTCCGGCAATCTGATCGGTGCTCTGAAGTGTTGTGACAGCGCCACCAGCAGGTGCAAGATGGCAACTATGCTCTTAGCATGAACCGCTAATGTAAGAAAACAGAAATAATAGTCAGAAACAATAACTAGCAGATCTGTGAGATCAGGATTTTGCTTCACACGGGGGTTTCTGATAACAGTGAGGTAAGTCTGTAAGCATAACTGTAGCATAACATGAGAACAATTAGTGTTTTATTTACATCATTATAGGTACATTATTATTATTTAAATGTTAAATATATCAAAAATCATCCCACAGATCATACTGTGGTGGCCCTGGAAGCAAGCACTCACGTAAAAAAATGTGAACCAGAATTAGCACCTTTATATTTCTATTACAAACTTTCTCTGTCATATCTTCTATTTTTGTGGCATTTGATAGAGTTAAGTATTAGTATTTACAGTACAAAAGAGTTTTGTATTTGTGTTGTGCGCTACCGATTTAGTCAACAATTTCAAATGTCACATAATGTCGTCATTCTTCAACTAATGTCACCGACACACAGCTCTTTCTACACCATTTCTTTCCCCAATCTTTAGCCTTTGTATTTTTTAATGTGAATACCTCACCCTAGGCATTGGGATGCCAAATAACAAGGCACATATTTTCAATGTTTTTTCTTTTTTTTAATATCGTTCAAGGAATTTAGAATGAAAAGTTTTACGTGGCAAGGTCGTGTACGTACAAACACAAGATGCCAAAAGTTGCCTTGAAGCGATATTATAAAAGCTACAAAATACGAGCTTCAGTGAGGAGGGAGAAAGCACAGAAAAACAGAGTGAGAATGGCTGCAGTGATCAGTCAGAAACACTTAAGAGATGTGCAGTTAGCCATCCAAACAAAGATTTACCTTTGGATACATCAATCAATCAGGATCAATTAATTGTCTAAAGCAAGCCTTTGGTTGTTCCACATGGTATTGGCAAATAAGAGAGGAAGCTAAAAGCATTCATAAAACCTTAGATCCCTGCTGCATGAGGACCTAAATAGGCAGCATCAGGAAGGGTTTTCTACGGCCTCTGGATGTGAGATGAAAGCGGGCACAAACAAAATTGATTAAAAGAAAGCTCCTCAAATAAAAGGACAGCCAAATCAATTACATTCTGTGCTATTAACTGTGCTCTTTAGCATATTTGAAGACATCTCGTACTTAATATCTTTTCAAGGACACAGTTTCTACAAGAGGTGCATTTAGGAAAGCCTGATTTTTCAGTTTTAAAAGAACATAACAAAATCAGTTGTGTTCGTTATCCTAAAGATTTTCTCTGTGTGTTATTACATCATTTTTTAATCTTTCTTTTGTATTTTATACCACATAACTGCTTTCGGAGGTTTCTGGGTACTTAAGTACTCACTGGGTAACCCAAGAGCTTGAAACATTTTTACTGCTGCAGTCTCATATTTTTCTTTTAGTCTTGTTACAATTTGTTATAGTTCCTTTGTAGCATACTGGAAAGCCTGGACTCTGTGCGTCCTGTGGTGGACCAATCAATGTACACAGTTCATCTAAAGACTAGAAAGTACTCCATTGGCGACTCCATTGGTTGCAAAAGACACAGCTCTCAGTAATCCTATTCCTGATCATTTTATGGGCTCAATCTCTCGTTTCAGAACATACGAAATGAACCTCATTCAGTAAATTATTGTCATTATTAGGATCAGAAAGAAGTTTTATTCAGGGTATGCTCATGTTCGAACAACTAGCTGTTAGCCAATGAGCCTGCGGTGTCCTCAGCTTCACAGTCAGACCCACATCTAGTTTCAAAACACCAAGTCTGATCTCAGTACTAGGGAGCCTCACCGTGCAAGTTCTCCTTGCTGCTTGGGGAAAACACAATCTGCCAAGTACCTTAAAAATCTGTAAGTATTCTTTGTTGCACTCGTGTGTGAAGTTAGCTGATGAACAGACTGTTGATGGCATTATTTCTGGGCTCATTCACACTTCATTGTCAACGTCCAACTTGCAGTACTATATGCTGCAGCTAATGACGAAAGTAAAAAGGCAGTGTGCAGGGAGCTCAACAGTAATTATTGTTACTCACTCTGTCAGATCAAAGAGTGCCATCAAAGGACAGATGGAGAGCTCTCTTAACATGCGCGGCTACACGGTTACATCTCAGCAGGAAGCATATTAATCCAATGGACAGATGAGTACATTCAGACACAAATCCTTCAAATACCGTTTTCCACACAGGAAGGAAACAATGAGGGTCATGACAAGCGCCAGATTTATACAGTTTTTTCTGTATAAATAAATAATAATTCACAGAATAACAAAACCACCACTCCACCTTGTCAGTGGAGACAATGCGTGGTAGTGGCTGATCAATGGGTCAGTATTAGTTATCTGCTTATCTATCAACCCCAGCATTTATACTTGATGATGAAAATTAAAAAGTAAAGAAGAGACAGGAGAAACACCTTTCTCCTGCTATACGTGCTGATTTGACATAGTTTATCCAACACAGAGGACTCTGCAACTCGTGTTTGGAAAGTCACAAACACAACAACCAGAGGGGTGTGCTACAAAGCCAGATTAACGATTTGTGTCGATGTTAAAGCCCAAACTTATCCTGAACACATGACCTGGTTGATAGCCGGTTATGTTACAGTTTCAGTTCAAAGCTAGAAGATGGAAGCGGCGTGTTTTCGCTGGTTCTTTTATTTGCAGCTTGTTCTAAACTGCAAATAAAAAAAAACCCTGGATCGAGTGCAAACTGTCGATGCACTGTAACTGTATTGTGCATGCATTTGTTTGGTGATGTAGAAAATAACAATATACTGTGAAATAACACAGTATATAGTACATTACAGTGCAATATAGCATAGTAAAAAAATCTGTGTAAACCAGTGTGGTTGTTCTTTTTAAAAAAAATTTTTTTTGCGTAATATTAGATTCTAGTAGAGTAACTTTGTATGTCACAGTTCAATATAAGCCTTATTTATCTGACATTGGGTCGTGTTGCAGCCCGTCAATTCAGCCTCTAATTGAAACAAGCTGCTTTAGCCGACCTCCCTTTAATTCGACTTTCTTCTGAAGAAACAGGTCATTTTGGATTTGTTGGCAGTAACACGTCTTTTCCTCTTCTTTTAACAACAGTCTGTAAATGTCCATGAACTGAGGAGGACACAAGTCCTGGGACTTTTGGGAGAGAAATGCTGTCCCATTGTTGTCTGATATAAAATTCTATCACTCGACAATCCTGGGAATCTTTCGTCATATTTTACGTTTCTTATGTTTTCAGTTGGTGAAAGTCACCCAGACTGCAGCCAGACTCTTCTACTGCAAACTCATGCTATTGGAATAGACGCAGTATGCCGTTTATCATTGTCTGCTGAAACTTGCAACGCTTTTCCTGAAAAAGACGGCCTCGGGACACTGATGCGGAACGAAATTAGCGCTGATACCAAGCACGGCAGTCGATTTCCTGTTTAGTCTGTTTAGTTTAGTTGTTTTTTTAGACATGTTGCTGCAATCGAAAACAAAAAAGTACTGGCAGCGACCAGTGCTACCCCTCAGCCTCCTAGCAATTGCAGCTATGCTATCAATTTAAAACTGTCGAGTCGCCTCATTCTCAAGTTATCACATTCACAAACTCCGGTGTCCACTTCACCTCATTAAAACTTTGTTTGATATGAGCATTCACTATTATAATGGTATATACATGACAGAAGATAAGAAAAAGCAGAAAAGAGCCACAATCTATTTTTGTTAGTGTTGGGTCACTAGATGATGGATATGAGTGAAAGATTTCTACTATGCTGTATCTGCTGTGTGTGAAAATATTTAGTTTTTAAAATTTTATTTATTTTTTGCCATCTATCCTTCGACTGTTTTCCTCTTGTAGATGCAAACATCATTTTCCCCACAGGGATTCATTAGGTCTTGTCATATCATCACAAGTGTTACATAACAGCATATTGTGTTTCACAACAGTCGTTCAAATGACTGGAGGACAGATGGCTCACCGTCTTAAAAGAAATTTCAATTTCATCAAATTAAACTAATACAGGGAGATAGCGGTGCAAGGACTTCACACAGCACAAATACAAAATGCAGCGCATCTCACTGTAGTGTTTGCACTGCATTCTCAAGGCTAAATAACTGAAAGTGCACGACAACAAGACCAAAACCAAAAGCTGCCTTTGGCGAGACGACATTACTGTAGGAATTAATGAAGAAATAATGAAACTTTCTTACAGTCAACATTCCAGCGGATGTTTCTGGTGGAGAGTTTGAGAGACTCGTTGATCCGCTCTAAAACCGTCTGCAGCTTCTGTTTCTGGGCGATCTCTGATTGGGTCACCTCTGCCACGTTCAGTTTCTCGCCTTCAAGCTTTTCTAAAAGAAGAATTTACAGTAAATTTTAAACTCAGAATTTCAGCTATCAACTACTAATCTACTACTTATCAGATCGACCATCTGCCACCATCTTACTCTATCCCTAGCATGTTATCTTCATTATATCCAAGAATCTTTTCTTTTCTCCTGACTGGCAGCATCGTCTACAACATCCTTTGTCCAGTATATCCCATCCCCTCCTCTGCGCATGTCACCCTTGACTGCTGTCTTCAAACCGCTCAACCTGAGCTGCCCCTCTGATGTACTAATCTTGTCCATTCTGGTCATTCCCAGTGGAAATCTAAGGATCTTCATCTCTGCCACCTCCAGTTTGGCCTCCTGTCCTTTTCTTAGAGGCACCATCTCCAAACCACACATCACAGCAGGAGTCACAACTAGGGCTGGGCCATATCATACCGTTCACGGTAATACCGGTATAATGTCAGGCAATGATAATGAAATATCGCAATAGAATATGGCATCCGCAGTGCCTTCGTTTTCATACGCACATGGCTGAAAAAACATGGCGGCGACGGAGAATGAGTAGGGCGAAAACGGATCGTTGAATGAAACAGATGAACCAGGATTGGTTTGTAAAAATGCTGCAACTTGAGTGGTGTGGAACTGGTTTAGCTTTCGTCCATCAGATACACACCAAAGCACATGCTAGCGGTAGAGCATGCTAGTGGGCCCGTCGTTATTATCGTGTTTTTCAGAAAATATGTCACACTTAAAATCAGCCTTTGATTTTCTGAAAATCGACAGTGCCCCTTATAATCCCGTGTGCCTTATGTATGAATTCTGGTTGTGTTTACTGACCTCGAAACGATTTTATGTACACGGCGCTTGAAAATCTGTCAAATGTTTTAGTGCGACTTTTGTAAGCTACGAAGCCGCACCGCTTGATGGATTATCGGAGGAGCATTACGGCTATCGTAGGCAGGAGCCTGGCGGAGTGATACGTGCTGTGCTTCAACATAATATTAGCTTATTGTGTGTGTATAACCTCTTTTTAAGTTTTGTGGATATTAAACATGGTTATGCTGAGGATATGTCGGCCAGTTTCCACTGGAAATGCCTTTTGGTTAAACTGCCAGCAAGGAATTTGCATTTGCACTTTTATATTTCTATATAACTTTAACGCACATAAAAAAAAAAAACAGCTGCTTGTTTAACCTCCTAAGACCCGAACTCTTTCATGACATGCATTTTTAATTTTTCTTTGTTATTTGGGTTGATTGGGACCTAAAGAATGTAAAAACAAAGAATTACCAGATTTTTTTTTAATCTGAGAAAAATGAGATCCACATAAGAGGACATTTGTTTCAAACAGTGGCAGAATAATGTCCTCGTAAGTGGATATTTGGTGGAGGATTTTTGCACTAATAAAGCTGTGGAGTTGCACAGTATTTTGTCTCGTGTCAGTTATATCGTTATCGCAAATTTTCAAATGTATATCGTGATAAATATTTTTGACCATATTGCCCTGCCCTAGTCACAACCATCATGTAAACCTTCCCCTTCAATCTCGTCGCCATCCTTCTGTCACAAATCTCCACCAGCTCCACCCTCCCTGCACTCTCTTCTTCACCTCTCTTGAGCACCGTCCTCTGTTTTGAATGGTTGAGTGACCTACACTACCTTTACTCCCTGCATGTTCACCTTTCACCTGTCTCACTGTTATTCACACACATGTATTCTTTCTTGTTTCTAATGACTTTCATTCTTCAGCTCTCTAGTTCATACCTCCACCTCTCAAGGTTCTTTTCCCACCTGCTTCCTGCTCTCATCTGCAAACTCCCATCTGCAAACTCTTTGTCAAACCACAACAATGTGCGAAGGTTAAGTTACCAAACAGCTTCTGCAGAACTTGACCATCATACAGATCCTCAGCCAGATCTTTAACAATGATCCTCTCGCCCACCAGAACGTCATTTATCCAGTCGATCAACACCTACGCAGGCAGAAGAAGAAACAGGTGCTTCATTGGGGGCTTACAATGTTTTATTTTTTATGATACAGCTCAGCTACCTTTAAATATACCTCAATATATCCTTTAAAGAAACACAAAAAACAAATAAAACGTAGAAATTATTTTCAAAGCTTTACTCGGGCCCTTAGTCTAAGTTGTTAGGAGATGTAGCAATATAGAAATTCTTAAATGGTAGGTCAAAAAGAAAAACCTTCATGAGCTCCTGCAGTTTGCGGTCATTCTTGGAGTTTGGGTCCACCATGGTGCGCACCTCGTTCTCCTCTGTTGGATGAGAAAAAGTTGGCAAAATAAACCAAACAACAGTACAAAGCAATGGAGTATTAAAGTATCTCAAACTGTGGATCCCAAAATGCTTTGGGTTAGCTAAAAATACGATTATATCCTTCATTTATCCAGGTACGAGTTGGAAAAATCTCTTTTCCAGGAGGCCCAGCCGAGAGGGCAGCAGAAATTACAACAAATATAACACGATTAAAGAAACAAATACAAGTGACATTCAGCACATTGAGTGATTTAAGCTGATTACCGAGCATGGTGTCCTCAGGGTCCAGCTCATAGTGTGAAGGGCTGAGAGGAAGGTTGATGGCATTTATCCCCTCCTCCTGAAGCTCAGACACTAGAACAAATAAGTTACAATCACACCATCAGACTAAAACAATCACATAAACAATCAAGATATAAGACATGCTGAATTTTTGTTAGCCTGTTCTTTAAAAAACATGTATTTACATCTCATGTGTCAATAAACATCTAAACTGTGAGAAGAGTGAAATTTTGTGGGTTTTTAAATGTTAGCCAATTGTAGAAGAATAACCAATAATTCAGAAATGGTTCAGACTTTCACAAGCAGCTGAGCACTCTCATTTTTAACAAATAATTATTTAGTAATAGAAAAATCATTTCCATTAACCATTTCTGCCATGAACAGACATATACGGACACAGATAGGCAGACACATACACACTGGTCTACAAAAAAAAGTTTTTGTTTCTAATCACTGACATTTTGACACTTTTGAATATCAATGTATCAACAAAATGTCTGGAATTTCAACTCTTGCCCACCAAAAGTGTTTTAATGTCATTCTAAAAACAGGCCAGAACGCAATATCAGAGACATGCAAAAGATGTGTAGTTCTGTCAATTTAGCTCAAAATAAAACAAGCCCAGTATGCTCAAAAATCTTTGAGGCACCTGATTTTGTGCTTGTTCTGAACCAAAAACATTTACTCATCGTGCTCGGATTCAATTTTCTTTGATATCAGTTTTTCACTTTTATACCTTGATGAAATCTTGCCCTATGCTCATCGCTGTCATCCAGATTTAGTGGGAATACAATACATGAGGAGACAAAAACTGCATCTTCAGTAACACTCTGATACACTTTCAGAAAGTTATCCACAGCCTCAGCATAATTCTCTGCTCCGGGACTGCCCCCCCAAAAAAAACCCCAAAACAAAACTGTTGACAACCTGCACGAATGCTGCTGATGTAGTTGGGTTCAGTTTTCCTTTGAACCCATCGTCAAGCATCAACGCCTTCCTTAATTTTAGCTCCACTTTTTTCTTAAATGCTGAAACGTGACGTCTTTTCTGTCCAGTCACACTAGCTGTCCAATACTTGGAACACCATAACTAAAAAAAACAGGACGTGCTAGACGAAAATAGTCACCAAGTGAAATTTATTAGAGGTGAAAGAATCCCAGCAGCACTGGCTTGTTGGCCAGTGTTATCAAAAGCACCAGGAGAAGAAATGAAACCAGCTTTACTTCAAAAAATAAACAGTAAAAAGCTGTGTGACACATCTTTGAAATGCCAATCAATCTGATAACTCTACATGCAAGGCACACCAGCTAAGACAAAGACCAGAATTATAATCATTTGAGGTGTTCAGCAGTAGTTCGGACGTCCCCCCGATTCCACGAATAAGTGTTGGGAGCCACTTGACGTCAACCAAACACAGAGCAGTGCTGCTTCCTGCTTCTCAGTGGGCTTTAAAGCAGCCCAGCATGCCCTTCTTCACAGCATGTCAGATACCTGAGGAGGTTTGATCGCTGCTGATCTGTATGTGTGTGTGTGTGCACGCAGTGGAGTGAACATCCCGTGCATTACTCTGCCTTCACTGGAAAAACATCCTCTTAATCAACACCATCCACAAGTGCCTGGATGTACACTGTGTCTCCATGAGCAGACATCACATCACACAGAGGTGTATGAGAATATTCCTACAGAGCAACACACACCTCACCCTTTTCAATCCGTAAATTACCACCCACTTACCCACTTTTGTTTCCCCTGGGACAACGTGTGAGTGTTGTGGAAAAACGTCAAGCTTCAATGAGAAGGTACAGTAAGTGATGCAAGTGGTAATACCCTCCACCTAATTCCCCTCAAGAAAGTATTCAAGATTGACAAGTCGTTTGCCAGCGAGCATATCTTGAATCTTATAATGACCAGAAGTCAAAATGACCCCAATTTTCTTTTCAGTATGACCCCAAACAAACGACTGATCCCATAAACACATCAATGTTACCCACAGACTCTTTTTGCAACCTTTGCAACTGTATTTTGTAGATAAAAGTGGTTGGAAATCAGGTGACAACGAGCTAGTCACCAAGGCTGGTGAACTTTTTTCCTGTCCTAGAGACTCGGGATGGGATAACCTATAAGTAAGCTTGAAGTTACTTAATTTGAATGCAGTCCAGCTAATATCTGCTGCTTGATTTACAAGGTAACACAAAAGAAAATACCCCCAAACTGAAAAATGTTCTCAGTTTGCTCATCTACAATGATTTAACATGAAGTTATAGCAGGCATACACCGGCCTGTTTTAATAGATAACAAATAGCTGCATTGCTGAGGGGGGCATGCTGTTGCATGTATACACAAGATCTATCAGACAACCCCGTATGTATGCAGTGGTAAGACTACGAGAGAGGCTTTTTAGCCCTTTATCTCAGCCAGAATCATTTAAAATCATTTAAACCTTTGTAACCTGAAGTACACAGCAAGAGTACACTCACAAGGTATGCGTGCTTTCTTGTATTTTTCTGCCCACTGCAGATCTGCTGACAAAGATGCAGAAAGTCGAATGGTCATCAGGCCAATTAGGTCTGATTGTAATCTGGAAAACCCATCAGCTACTCTGTTCACTAAGTCTCTGTGGACAGAGGCCAATATTTCCGGGCTCTTGGTATAGCCGGCGGATATCCGGGCAAGTACTTCCTGTACCATGTCCTAATCATTGTTTACAAATATGGCCTTAATTTTAAAAAAGCTAACAAAGAGGAACGTCATTCCCAGATGTACAGCTACACCAGGGAACAGCTAAAGCACCCACCCATTATTGGCCTGAGTAAGTTGATTATTTAGTGTTTTGTTTGTGTGATTTTTATTTCTTTTTTATGATGGCAGTTATTCTTATTTATATTTTCAATCCTCCAGGAAGAACAATGTTTCACTGTAAACCTATACAAAGAGACACTCATTCAAATTTATTTTAAGTTTTCATAAAAGTGCGATATTACAATTTTTGGTCATACTGCCCAGTAGACCTGCACAATAAATCGAAAATTTATTGTCATCGCGATATCAGCCTGCGCGATGGGCCCATCGCAAAAGACGACGTAAACTGCGATAATTGGGTACCTTAAAATGTTTACACACGTGCTTTAAAGAATTTACCAATCAAAGAAACCCCTTTACACATTTGACCAGTCGAATAGAGCCCTTCACGGCATTAACCAATCAAATGGATTAGAGGCCCGCTTCCTACGCAGGTGGGGAGCGAACAACGCTGCAGCAACGAGTCACAGTTGTAAAGGCTGAGAGCGAGACGCATGATGAGAACGCTACTGACTATGAACTCGTGCCTAAAAATAAATAAATAAATAAATACATAAATAGTATCTCGCTTATTTGGAGGTACTTTGGATTTGATAAAGACGACGTTCTCCAAACACAGGTACTCTGCAAAACTTGCCGAACACTCGTGGCAACCACCAGAGGAAACACGACTAATCTCCACCATCATCTTCAATACAACCACAGAGAACTGTTTGAGGAGTTACAGAAGGACAGGGCTAGCCAAACAAAGGTTTCTAATGTTAAGACAAAGAGCACAGCAGTCCAACAGCTGTCTCTGTATCAGAGTTTTTCAAGTGGAACAACTTATGAGAAAACGTCGAAGCGCTACAAAGAAATAACAGAGGCCATTACACATTTTTTCGACAAAGACATGATGCCTATAAATACAGTTGTCAGAGAGGGCTTCACCAGTCTGATACATAAAGTGGACCGGAGATACCGCATCCCCTCACGAAACTACTTTTCCCACGTCACCATTCCACAAATGTACGAAATATGCCGCTGGACTGTCATGTTTGAACTGAGCCAAGCTGAAAACTACGCAAGCACTACAGTAAAGTTTCCTCTCCAGTTTTGACTTACATCATAAGTACTTGGTGAGTGGTAACATGATGAACAACTGCATTGAGATAATTTGCAGTATAATTATGTTTATTTAAAACTAATTCTAGAGACCGGGAAGGATGTCTTTCAGAATTCAAGCCTCAGAAATCTTTTTATGGGGGCAATGTTTCAATGTTAAAGTGCACTTTGTTGTTACACTGCTAATACAGCAGCTTTCATTAAATAAAACTGTTGCAGTAAAACGGAAATTATGTATTCATTTTTGGGGGTTGTTTTGCTATTTATTTTATCGCAAGTCATATCGTTATCGCAGTATTGATCACAGTTTTCGCACATCGCAGGTTTTCCTAATATCGTGCAGCCCTACTGCCCAGTCCTACGACAAGCAATGCCTTTGGGACTCACAAATGCAAGATCTCTTTTGCTCTTTACATGGGCTCCTTACCTTTATACATCGAAAGCCTGCTCAAACGCTATTGGTCAGTATTGCTAAGAATACCAACAGATACCAGTACCGAAAAACTTGTCTCGTGCCTTTGGGTTCTACATATTTATTAGAATTAGATAATTAGAAGAGATGACCACGTTTTGAATCAGGTTATCAAACCCACCTTCAAACCAGGTTTCTCTCACATTATTATTTTTTTTTTTTTTGCAAAACAAAAGTGTATACTGGGTTAGTAGCATGCGCCACTAGGCTACTAATTATCGCTGTCATCACTGGTTGGTACCAAATTTACTAGTCGTTTAATCTAGTCATTTAACATTTTAACTAACGCTCAATGCCAGTAAATGATTGTGTCCTAAACATTACGCAGCCTTCTGCCACCAGGTGGCGCATTGTTGTTGAGAAACATTAAAAATCTGTTAATCTAGGCCTCGTCTTTTTGCTAACACTATTAGAATGAGATCGCGGATACAAGCAACAGAAATTTGCTTTCTCCAAAAGGCAGATGGGCTCTCGCTTAGCAATAGTGTGAGGAGTTCGGTCTGCCTTCTGAATAAGGCGTTCCAACGACCTCCTACCAGGAGTAGGCCCAGTTTATTCGTTTTTCATATGTTATTATTTCTTTTTGTAATATTTTAGTAATACGTGAACATCTTTTGTAGTAACATGTCTTCATATAATATTTAACATCAGGTTGTTTTAAGTGTTTTTCTTCTTTGTTGCCTGTTTGGAGTATAACGTGTAACGTGGATAACGCAGGATACGAGGCGCTGCACATTGGCATGATTCATTATTGAAGAATGTGATTAATGGTTTCAATTATCTTTATTACTTGTTTTTGACATTTCCTATTAAACAGTTCTTAAATTTAACTTAACACCTGAGTGATTCTTAGTTTTAGATTAGTCGGTTAGTCTAGTTTTATTTTCCTTATTTAGTCGACTAAGAAACCAGTCGCCAGGAACAGAACTAATGGGGCTAGTTCCTCTATTCTTCTATTTCAATCACAGTTCAACAAAGACACATATGGAAAAAGGGAATCATTTTTGCTTTCTGTGGTCTACTCTACATTTTGTAACTTACAAATAACCTGAAGACCTGTGAAAGCCACCCTCAGCGGCTGAAACTTCAGTCTCATGTGGGGGTACAGCTGCGGTACAATAACACCATACTAATTAGCACAATGTGATATTACTGTTAACCACCACTTGTGCTATTTAAGGTAGAGTGACTTTGTTTAACCCTGGCTAGGTGCTGAGGAAGTATGGCGGGTAGATTCATCTGAATATGGCATTAATTCACTCCCCTGCTGGGATTCTGCATCGAGCAAGATTTTGCTCACCCCTTTTTGCACAACAGATTTCATTTAGTGACATTACGAGCGCACTGAAAGGGATTAAAAGGCATCCCGAGTCTTCTCACCACACATCACTCCACTCCACCCCCTCCTCAGTCCACTGTCATAAAATGAGGATACGTATCCATCCGCTTGGTTAAATAAGGGTAACACAATAAATAGCTGCATGCCTCCTGTCCAGTGCTACATATGGGGGAAAGATTGCATGCTGATGTCCTACCTGGAGGGCATAACGCTCCACAGCCCATGTCTGTCTGTCTCCGTCCCCCAGTCACAAGCATCCTCTCCTGGCTAGCAGGACCAGCTCTGTCCCCTGCGTCTCATTCTCCACAGGCTGAGCTCTCTAATAGCTTTAATACACCGACTGACCCCAAGATAAATATTAAAATTGTTTGATTTTTCACAGAGGATATAAAATTACCTCCCCTGATTCATGTATTGTATTTGCTCCATACTCAGTGTACACAGTTCTGCAGAGCCCTCGCTAATGCTCTGAAACCTCCTGACCTTCTCCTCTCTTTTCATACCACCTCGTCCACATCACATAGCCTTCCCTTCCTTCACATCCCCTCCAACCTGTTCCCTTTCTTCTTCTCATCCAGTCATTACTCCCGTTCCAGTCGGCGGCCCCTCTCTCTCCCCGGCACATGCAGAGACAGCCATAAATGTCACATGGACCTAAATTTATTCACTGATCAGTACGAGAGCGACCAGCCCACGTTTTCCATCAAATCATAGAACACACTGCAGACGTCCTACACACTGCTCTGTGCATATATACTCTGTGTGTGTGTCTGTGTGTGTGTAGGGGACATGAGCCCGTATTGATATAATGAGATTGCATGCATGTCCTATGGGCAAAGCAAACATAAAATGGGGCTCAGCTGTGCAACAGTATCCTGACTGACAGAAAGTAATCATCCGACTGAAGGGGACCTTTCTCATTCCATGATAAAACCTGGCCTTCAACAATGAATGTCATCTGTGGAGCCTGTTGTATTTCCAGTGCAAGCCGGCATGGTAATAAACTGAATTGAGCATTTAAAAGAAGCCTTTTGGAAGACATTTATTTAAAGCACGTTCCTGGTAGTTAAAATAGAGCGGTGTTAAAGAACTATTACAGAGGAAGATGAAGCGGGCAGAGGTGTCCATGAGAAGTCGAGTGAATCGCTATGAGCTCCACAGCTGCTATTCTGTACTTGATCCTGACCTCTGACCATGTGGAGCAAAGCGAGTGCATTACAGATAACTGCTGGTCAACCAAATAATCAGTGTCTTCACCAGCTTTTATGACAAATGTTTCCAGAGATATGCTGATGGTACCGAGACATCATTCATCGCTCACAAGCTGACTGATCTTAGTGTTTTGAAACCAGACGTGCTCTGCTATCTATTAAACCATTGTAGGATTCTACTAGAGCATCTTTAAAGGATTCACAGTTCGAAACAAGCTGTTTTACCTCTCCTTCCTTCAAGCCAACTTTCATCTGTAGCCCCTCACAAACAAAACTTTGGCCAGCAGGAGGGTGGTGCTTCTGTGTAATAACAAGAGCCGAGTTCCTGGACCTTACCATATAAATAAGCTTGAATTCCTTGTACATACTCAATATTTGGAACTTTGCCCATGTTTAATATGATCATCCACAGCTGAAATAGTGCATATATGACAGAAAGGTTCACTTTAAATAAATACAGACTGAGGCAAATTAAAACAAGCAAATGACGCACACTCTGTTAGACTTTTGCAAAGTGTCCTGACATCATAAAGGCTTGCATGGCTCTCCAGTTTTTAGAAGAAGCCGTTTTTGGCAGCACCACTCGCACCACCCCTATAGATCTGGATTCCTTGGCCCAGTATATCAAGCCAACTATCACAAAGCTAGGGGTCAAAGTTGACGCTGACCTCTAGCTTGACATCAGGGCAGCTGGCTAAAATAAAAGCCAATTCTTTCTAGGCAACACTTTGACACAGTAATCCACACCGTTGTCACCACTCGGCTGGAGTAATGTAATGCACTTTATATGGGCGTTAGTGGTTCCTCCATCGCTCGTCTCCAGATGGTACAAAATGCTACTGCTGGTCTTTTAATTGGCACATGTGAATATGAGCACGTCTCCCTCCATTGGCTGCCCATTCCTTTTAGAATGAATTTATTTGCTAATAAAGCCCTCAGTGGTCTTGCCTCACCCTCCTTCTCTGAGCTACTATGTCCTTATGTCTCTTATCTAGTCTTCTGTACAGCACTTTGGTTCCTTGTGGGTCGTTTTTAAAGTGGTTTACAGATAAAGCTAATATTGTATGGTAGTAAGGCATTACTCAGTCCTCCCTGGAAATAATTCTCCATGTTTTTGGAAATATACTGAAAGGAGAGTGGAGAGCTTGGCCTAATATATCAGACCAGAATGAATGAATGAATGAACTAGGTTGCCAAAGGATCCACTGGACATGCAGAATATAATTTTTAAAACGGTGGACAAAACTGACATTTTTGGACTTTCAGCACCAGGAAGCTTTAAGCTGCAAGTCATTGATAATGAGCCCCTGAGAGTGGTAAGACAACAGTTAATTTCATCCAAGCCAGAGGTCTGAACTACAGATGTTTCCAAAGTAAGCTGGTTATGCCAAGCAGCTCTGCTGGTCTGTTTCTTTGTAATGACAGTCGACTAACTGAATGTGGAAAAACTGAGATGAAGTGTTGAAACTGACCGTATTTTATATTAACACATCTCAGCCTGTTTATCGTCTATTTAGTAAACAAATGATTCATCAAATGTGAACGTTTTTGGGACATATTAATATTTCCCTTCAGTAAAAGAAAGGGATATATTATTTTTTTAATTGTTTTCAGGATTCTACCTCTTTGTGACGAACTCAGCTGCCGCGTCCTTTCCACGGGCTATGTGTCTGTTTTCTTTATGAGTAATGCATCTGTGTTTGTTACATAACAATCATCCTTTCCTCTGCATACCCAAAGACCAGGCGGACACAGACATGAGGCTGTAAATTCCAATTTACACCAGACAGGTGGCCAATGACCTGCTGGATGTTAAGAGGTTAACACATCTCAATAGTTCAAATCAAACGTTTTGTAAGTGGACGTTTGATTACATATAACAATAATCCAATAGTTTGGAAAAAAAATTTTTTTGTTACTATTTAACTGTTTTTACTGTTCTTGCCCACCTGAGATCAAATTTAGTGTATGTCACCCACAAACTACAATGAGTTTGAACAAGTGGTCCCAATTTGTTACCCATCTGCATCTGTATGTAGCTTGTAATTATGCTGAAATAACTGCAGCCTGTATGTCTGATCCAAAGTAAATTTCTCTGTTGTTAAAGTGAAATGTTTCTTAGCTGCAACACAAAATGTTAAGCTGCTAAAAGCATGATCCATAAAACCAACCTCACATGAACTCTTTATTACCTAAATTAAATTAGTTGACCCGGTGGGAGCACTCTGGAAGGGGAAAAAAAGAGACTAATCCACATATAAATTGTCTCTGTATATGTATACCTCCTTTAACAACTAGTTTAACGCCCAATGTGTCTCCTTATTGCCTTCCAACTAAGTCAAACTAAAAAAATAAAAGCTGTTGTGAAAGCACGATGGGTGCTGCCTCTACAGTGGTTAGCGGGCCTGTGTTCCCTCTTGCCTCATTCCTCACTTATTACAGTAGTAGCGGATTCAATACCTTACATGGGTACAGACCACACAGCCTGCGGCCATGAAAGCACACACAGGACACCACACGTTGTAGTTAAAGAACTTCTTCTAAGCTTAAACATAACCAAGTGCTAAATATGTCGGCTCTCTGAAACTTCAGTGCGTAGTAGTAGTGACTTTTATTTTTTTGGAGGCTGTTCATAGAGTACAACGCTGTGTGCACATACTATAAAATGTGTCTGTAAGAGGGTTTAGTTCAGAAAACAGTGCATTCAGAGGAGCAGAAGAGTTGCTAGACTGTTAACTTTGTTAGCTGTTTACCTTCTTTGGCTTTTTTCCTTCTTACCAAAGTTCCACCAAGTTTCCCAAGGAAAGAGTCATCTTTCTTTCTGGAAGACGGAGATTTGGGCGTCGGAGACTTAGGAGACGAAGGGGACTTCTGAGGCGAAGAAGCCATGGCCGAAACGACAACTAAATCCGGGACAGTTAACTCAAAACTGTCCGAGTTGACGTGGAAATCAAAGTTTGTTAGAAAGTCAAAGTAAAAAAAACTAAGGGAAAATCGCTGTCCACTCCCTAAAGCGGAAACGGAATTCCAGACATTTTCTCCCGAGGTTGGCTGGAGTGCGTGGCCCCTCCTCTGCGGAGGAGGGCTGGGAGCAGGCGGAAGGCTTCTGACCGCGGGAACAGGGTCCAACTCGGTCTAGAGCTGTCCTGGGGGCAGCGGGAGGTGAAAATAGGAGGCAACAGAAATAGATGCAAAGGACCCTAAAAGTGACCTCGTTATAATTAAAGCCCTTTAATTTTTACTTGGGTTTTTTTCTAGCTTCTCAAAGTTACCCAATAATAAACAAACAGGGCCATACCTAGAGGGGTGGACATGGGGTGTTACCAGCCCCTCCTGAAATATGATCCCCTCCCCCACCCCCCATAAGGACCTTTTTCTAAACTCTTTTTGTCTGATTAATTATTTTTTTAAAATCTTTTTATTCCACTCACTTTATTCTTTTGTTCAAGCCTCCAATTAAAGTTTCTTAGCGATGTCAAGTCCACTTTCTTTAAGAGTTGTCCGCTATACTGGATGGGGTACAACTACTGGTTCCTGTGTAGTCTCTTACTGGCTGACAGTGGTTCCTGGAGGTTGCTGCACCAAAAACCACCGTTGCTCATAGTTTTTACTAAATGCTAACAAGAAAACTTCAACTGAGGGGACGTGGTTGACCTTGAAAATAAAAGTTGGGTCTCAGCAGTGCAACCAGTGTGTTTCAAGACTGTTTGTGTTGCGCTTTTTTATAGTTTCACTACAGCTTGGAGAGTAGCCGGACAGTGTTTGTAGAACATTTCCATTTAAAGCACAACCACAGCAATATGCTAGCACCCACACCAATCACAAGTATGTTTTGTTAATAATATCAAGTGGCTGCCAGAGGGTCTGTAAGCCTCTGTGACTGGGGCTTTAGCAATTATTTTCCCAGCAACTGCCATCAAGCTCCAGCAACCACTCACAACAGGTAGGGGAATACTAATTTTTCCCTCATGACCGGTTGGGGACCAGTCTCTAAGCCTGTGTGGCTAGGGCCTTAATCACTTGATCCTACATCGTCACATGTTCAAAATGGCAGACAAGTTAACATCATGTGGTTAGTGGTCATGTGTCTGTAAAACCACAACAGCATTCCAGAAAGTTGTAGCATCAATGCCAAAGAAAACTGAGGCCCAACAGCTTTTTAAGACTGTTTATATGTCTTTATGTTGTTAAGCAGTAAGAAATAGGTTGCTTTTATAATCAGAGGAAGACAGAATAAAACAGTACCAAAAATCCAAAAATTCATTTTTATTTAAGATAATTTCATTTAAAAACACTCAAAGCAGCATTAAAATAAAACATGAAAGTTTTTTGCTAAAGAAAACCAAACTTACAGATATTATTTAATTTGCATTCATTTGTATTATAAACAAAATAACATTTAACGCCCGAGGACCGAGAGAATAGTATGGCAGTTTGCATCAGCATTAAAACTCATGTAAACACATTCATCTTTTCATGAGATGACAATTTGATGGCATTTTGACTCACAGCCCTTTACAGTGAATTGTAGACAGATTCACAGTAGTTAACAAAATGATGAATCCACTTTGGGCACGCTGCTTTCAGGATGTCACAGCTAGTGGTATGCCTTACTGGAGCAAGGCCAGAGATATCTGCAAGTTTCAACAAAAGTACATGAGAACTCCCACTCTGTGGACTTCCAGTTTTCTAACGGCGGTTCAAGGATAGTCCAGAATGAGTGAAACTTTAGACCAAAAATTTAATTTTGTGGAGTGAAGATTTTTCCTCTTGACATTTTCTTTATGCTTGTGATAAAAGAGATCAAGAAGTGAGTAAATTTTTAGAATAGTCCTGATTTCAAATTGTAATAAATTACCTCTGTGTAACACTTGGGGACAACAAACAACATTCCAGCACTGACATTTGAATTTCACAGATGAAGCGAGCAACAGCAGCCGTTTCTAGCAGCAGTTTTCTGATACCAGTCGTCTTCCTCAACCACAATAACCATTTGATTCTTAAACACACAGAAAGTGAATCCCATGTTAAAATGTACATTTTTACAGCAATAAAAAAAACTAAACAAAAATATCCGGTTACAGCCTCCAGTTTTGGCCTTCATAGAAGTTTCTTTAATTTAATACTAGAGAAGGTTGCAGCTGCTTGCATTGCCAGGTGTCCCAACACAGGAAGCTGCCGCCCATCTGTGTTTGCTGGGCTTTACCTTCTTTAGTTTAAGTCTCGGAACTGGACCTCCACAGTGTTTGTGCTGTCGGTGCCTTGCTTACAGGGTGGTGTAGTCTGTCCAAGAAGTTGGTGCTTTAGTTTTGGTGAGTGAAATTCAACCGTTGTATTTGTCTGTTACTTAGCACTAATTAGCTTCAAGTCTGACAATATTAGGCTAATGAATTCCCACTCCAAACAAGATCACGATCATTTTGGTTCCAAAAATTTACACAGTGGTACCAAAATGCTGATTTTGAGAATTCAACACGAGGAGTAAGCGGCCCATCCATTTTTATATACAGTCTATGCTTTTACCATTCACTGTGGACTGTCTTGCTACTGCTGTTTGCTGCTTTTTTAGCTGAGCTCCAGCCAACTGTACAATGAGACAAATAGGAATGGAACGGCTCCCCTAGATATCTGTGGTTTCAGTCTGTGCAGCAGCTCCATGGCAGATTCCATTTCTCTGGTGTTAATTAGTGCCTGAGCATACATAAATATATTTTATTTGATCCAAAGAAAAGTGAATAAATTTAAAATATGCACAAGAGTTTACAGTCACAAACAAGGCTGCACATAAAGTGACTCATAGTGAAATACTTAAAGCATTTTTCTGGTTTTATAACAACTCACGCTGTGCAAGAGTCTCCAGAAAAACTTTTGACTCCTTCCATGTGCTATCCAGTGAAGATACAGTGTTACAGTAATAACCAATCTGTCGCAACAAGTCCACTCTTATGGCTAGCAGCCACAAATAAGGCAGTTTGGTTTGTGATGAGTGCAGGCATTCAAGGCAGTGGCTCACATTATCAGAGGTGGTTAAGCATATCATACATCAAGTTTCAGGTCAGTATCAGCATGGGACATTGCAGTTACACTTCTGAGTGTTGAGAAAAGTTGGCAGAAAAGTTATTAACCCTCGTGGCTATACAGGAAGCCATTATCTAAGGGTCAATTTCCTTTCTAACACGATCAAGTCTTACAATCTTCGTCAGTGTTTCAAGATTCCTTCAACATTTTCCAGACTTGTAGCTTTGCAAAAAAAAAGCCAAAAGCAAACTATTGTGGGAACCTGTTTTCCTTCTAATCTGTCCTCTTCAGAGTGAGATCCTCGGTTTTCAGCCATCACTCCTGCTTCTCTTGGCCCCAGCTATCATCCATGCGGGCCCAGTGGAACTCATAGCCCTTGGAGAGCACAAGGCTCTCGAGGTCCCTGTCCTCAGCCCTCTCCTTGAGCCTCTGCTCCTCCAGAATAGAGACCAACATGTCTCGTTTCTCCACTGTTCTCATGATCTCTGCGAGGATCACCTGTTCCTCCTGCAGCTCTGAGGCACTCTTCTTTGTATCTAAAAAGAGTAGGAGGAAGACAGAAATATGAGCATGCTATATTATATCAGACTGCAGCGCTGTGTGCTCAAGGCCGTACCCTCTACTGCCATTTTGCGTCGCAGATCCTGCTGCAGCCGACTCTGTGTGTCCTCCAGCTCCAGCTCCTGAGCGCTGAACACAGGAGAAAATAGTGAGACCTCTACATGTGAGAAAAGGGAATTGCTTTCATAATGCATTCACTTACAAGATCATGAGTTCAGACTCATAGCGTGCCAATCTGTTCTTCTCTAGGACGAGCTTAAACCAGGACTGATAGAGCTGGGCCTCGTCACTGTCGTCCGTCTGAGGAGATTCTGTAAAAGGGAAAGAGGGAACGATGTAGGGAGGAAAAAAGAGGTTTGATAGGGATCAAAAAAGAAGACAGACATTTCAGAATTTATATCAATTATTTAAAAACCACTGCAAGAACTTCAATGACATACACATCATGTCACAGGGTCATATACTATTCACTGGAACACAAACAGAAGCCTGTATTGTAGAAAGATGAAGCAACAATAAAGTCCCTAGTGTCTATTGTGAGCACAGCCATTAACCGTATGTAGAGGCTTTTAACCAGACCGGGATTACAAGGCAGTGCTTTTCTCTAAATGGTCTGAGAAGTATGGGCAGTGCAATTAAACAGAATGAGAAGGGAAAAAAAGAATGAAGCTTTCACTGTGGAATTCCATTGAGCTGTAGAGTAGAGTGAATCAAGGTGTTATGGTACAGACTTCTGTCAAATAAAAGCAGCTACGCAATGCTGAGACTCACAGGTTTGTAAGGCACTGGTCTGAATGTACCTGTTTCTCCTCTTATGATCTTTTCTATGGCCACTCCTCTCTCCTCCAGGTCCCTCTGCTTTTCTCCGACTTCCTCCAACTGTCTCTGGATCACCTGTGCAACGCAACAACGTCGCCGTATGACACATGTAGTTAGATGTGATCAAAGGAGATTAATCAACGGAGAAATCGTTCTTTGAAATTTCTGCTTTCCCCTCCATACAAAGGATCTAAATTGATTTGTGGTGTTCACAAATAAAATTAGCCCTTCTTTCTCTGAAGTGTCCTTGTTATTCTGGGTAATTCTGAGAACTTGTAATGAACTAGTTTAAAGGCCCCATTTCTTTTATAGAAAACACTTACACGAATCATTCGGAGTAAGAGATTTTTCTGCCGTTCTTCTTCTTTTTTTTTTTATATAAATGCAATTTTTCAATTCTGTGAGCACTACAAACAATGTTCCATTTACCATCCTTGTAATGGGGTTTTCGAAGAAATCTCAGACTGATATCAGCAGGGACCGTCTGCAGTGAAAGGAATATTGTGACATTCTTTGGGAAATAAACAAGGATAACAAACTGAAGGAAAAACCTGAAGCACCGACTCTTACAGTGAGGAGTGCTTCTGTTTGTGAAAGGTCACTGCAAATAAACATTAAGCTGGTCATTTTTATCCTTTGATGAAACATTTCTGTCACGGTGGGAGTAGCCTCTCCCCGGGTGATGATGCCCTCATCCATAGGGCAAACAGACTCCCTGAAAGGTTTGATGGAGAATGGAAATGATGT